TTGTTTATCCATAGATGATATACAGCATTTCGGTACAATATAGAGCTCATCTTTGGGTAATCAATTTTACAATCAAGTCAGAGCTTTAAATTCTTGTTTCCTTGAATATAAAAAACAGAAATTTGACACAACTCAAGACATACAAATTTGACCTTTTCAGCAAAACACAGCCACTAAAAATAAAGGGTATACATTATTCCTACTGAGAGCAGGACATTTTGATGCTTTTAAATAGATTTCAAACAGTCCTTTCACTTTCTTGCATTCTCCCAGTTGTTGTGTTTACGCTTTAGTTGCACTTCTTTCTTTCTTTTTTTTTTTTTGCCATATTGACCTTAAACAGCCATGCTGCACAGTGATCCATGCTGGAATTTGCTGCAAATCCACATTTTGTTCAACTTTTTTTTTTTTTTTTTAACACAATGAGATATATTAAATAATACATCTTACTTTTGGCTAATGTCTGGTGGAGCTTTCTGGAAGACCTGCTCCGCAACTGACGTCAGGTAGTCCACCTCTCCCTGGTGTTCAGCCAGAGCCACTTGGAGAGCCTGAGAGGGCGACAGAGATGAATTGAGACACAGCGAGCATAATCAAGTGATGCACTTTAGTTTGTAGACACTTTCTTTGCAGGCAGTCATGTCGACAACAAACAAACAATAAGAAGTCTGAGCTCAGTTTCAGTGACAGTTGGCAAAATTCAATCTATTCTTTTGGGCAACTGTAATGTTTAACAGTCTAGTTTGGGTTTATTTTTGTTTCTATTGTCTTTGTCAGAGTCAGCTTCTATAAGTTACCATGGTTCTTAACCGAAATGGGTGGGAAGTCTTTGCCTTAGGTGGAGGAGTTTAAGTATCTGGGCGTCTTTGTTTTATACCCCATTAAAAAAATAACTTTCGGGGACTGATGCGCAACCTGTACAATATTAAACCAGTGAATAATTGGAAAGCAATGCAAGTGAACTCAAATGCAACCAAAGTAGCTCATAAGACAAAAGTAATAATAAATAAAACTAACTTGCACAATAAAATCCACACGCCCTGATGAGAAAAATAAATAAATAAAAGAAAAGAAAGAAAAAAAAAACTGACAGTGACGTAAATGGCTTTCCAACATAAATTATAAAGTAACTTGCGGAGGTAGGCTGTGTTCGTCGGCGCTGGTTGTGAATTTGAATCTGGAAACATTCGAACAAAGTTGATTACTGGACCTCAGAATTCTGGCTGGAGGATAACGATGTAAAGGTGCATACATACTGCAGTATTTTAAAGTTTGTAGATTGGGACCAATGACTTACAATAATCTTGACCGGATGTAATGAAAGCATAAATAATAACTCAAACCGTTCTTAAAAAAAAACATAGGTCTTGACCTTATTGGTGAGTCTTAGTTATAACAAGCTTGTTTGCACAGTTGAGCTTATCTGTTATTAACTGATCCCAAGAGACTCCTCTATACTGTACATAGCCCTTTAAACATTTTGCCCGCCTTTAACAATACCATCTACATCTAAACACTCCTAATTAGCATGATACAGTATGCTTGTTTAGTGAATTTACATTGCCGTTTGCTTTTTCTACTTGACAATATATCACTGCTCTAATTACCAGCTAACCAGCAGAGATGAGAAGATTCTGCTAATGGTTAAGAACAGTCAGGGACATAACCCCCCACCAAATAGTATCCTTTCAGTTTGGCTTAAATGAAATCCCAAGTGGTATGAAAACGTGCCAGAAAAGCTATCTTGTATAATCCAAATGTTTTTCAAAGCATTAAATGGACTGTACCTTCAGGGATATAAAATAGCAAGCTTTCCTTTTCATAAAAAAAGTTGTGATTTTAATATGGCATCTACGCAATAAGTACTTAAATAGACACAGCTATGAATACATTTGATCAGCAGCACCTGGAATATACTGAACCTCCTAAGTCTTTTGGTAGCAGCAAGGCTAGACTTAGTTGTTCCATCCAGAGCTTTTTAATATTGCTTTACCATTTCATTAATAAATAATAAAACGGTGGAATATATTGTGGATTTGTGTTCACTTGAGTTTGAATACCTTTAAAACCTGGTAAAGACAATTTTAGTTACGTTCCGATACGTTAAACCCTAGAAATAGACGGTGACCTTTATTTGTCCCATGATGGTTGGTATAAACTGATATTGGTTAGGGGTGGCGTAGGCTGCACAAAATGAATAGGAGTCAGTAAAAACCCAGTAAAGATAGCTCTTCAGCTGTGGCTTCGTGACTGTATGTTTACAACCCTGCAATTAAGAAGTGGATGAGCTGAATCCCCCTAGTGCGAATCAGTCTATCAGTGTCTACCTTCAAACACACAGGCAGCACTGGGAAAAACAGCGTTGTTCCAGTATCACTACAAAAAAGTGAATATGTAAATTATTCCTATAGTTTCAAAGGACCACACTTTTAATTAAATACTGATTTTGATGTCAAATTAAGCCAAGGTCACAGTGGTGTGTTTGTGTTCAGTTCCCTTGAAATATGATAAGGGTCTTGATGGTGGCAGGGTAAGCCTTTAACTGAAGCCTTAGATTAATTAGAGTTGCAGATAATATTTAGACATTCATCTTGCATGCTGATAAGCCATTATTAATTCTGCTCAGCTGTTTCCCCTTTAGTTGCTTATAGCTCCCATTATACGTATAATAAATGAGCGGTGCTTCGGGTAGGCGTTTTGTTTTGGGTTTATTTTTAGAAAAACAAAACCCAAACACCGATTAAAATTATCTGTGATCAGATGATATAAGTGAAGGTTCAGGAAGGGGTTTATTACAAACAGTATTTGACAGTATTTGAGGTTTTGCAACATAGTGTAGCAAATGTATGGGAAAAGAATCAATAATTTAGAGCTGCAGTTCAATAAATGTGTAAGCTTTGTTGTTCTTTATTAACCCCATCCATCCAGTCATCTATTATCTGGAGCTTGTTCCAGAGGTCATGGGGGCAGCAGCTTGAGCAGGGAGGATCAGACATCTCTTTCCACAGCCACCTCTTCCAGCTCTTCTGGGCCAGCTGAGAGACATTGTCTCTCCAGTGTATCCTGGGTCTTCCCAATAGTCTCCTCCAAGTTGGACATGCCCAGAAAACCTCCTTAGGGAGCATGCTTACCTAGATGCTAGACCCACCTCAACTGGCACCTTTATGTGGAGGAGTGGCTCTATTATGAATTTCTTAGATATCTGAACTTCTCATTCTATCTCTAAGGGAGAGTCCAGCTACGCAAAGGGTAAAACTCATTTTAACTACCTGTATCTGCGATCTCTTTCTTTTGGTTGCTACCCGAGTTCATGACCATAAGTGATTGTAGGAACGTAGACCAACTAGTAAACTGTGTTTCACCTTGCAGCTCAGCTCCCACAACAAGCCAGCGCTGTGAAAGTTGGGCCTATATGTGCTTAGATTTTACATCCAATTCTTACCTCAGTCACGAAAATAACCCAGAGATACTTAAACTCCTCTGCTCAAGGTAGCACCTGACTCCCAACCTGAAAAGGGCAGCCCACCCTTTTCTGGCTGAGAACAATGGCCACAGATTTGGAGATGCTGATCCTGATACTTAGGTTGTTTTTTTTCTCCCCTGTGTAATCTCTTAATTGTGGGGTCCCTCAAGGCTCCATCATAAGACCCATTCTGTTCTCTGTATATTTTGTCCTTTAGGGTCCATTTTCAGAAAGCATTACATCCTTTTACACCGTTCTTTTGACAATCATTGATCTATTAGCTTGTTCCAATAAACAGTCAAATATCCATTAAGGAGCTGCCAAACTGTCTCAGATATGGATCATTACCATCTCCCAAAAAATTGCAAACATGGATTGTGATAAATTTTGTGAATTTGAAAATAATAGCTGAATTGATTGTACCTCCTTACTGGTTACAATACTGCCATTGGCTTTTTAGTGTCTTATTGGAACCTATGTCCCAAGAACCTTGGTGTGATTTGTGTCTCTGACTTAACACTTAAACATCAGACTATCTTATTGGTATCTTTGAATATACTGGCAGTGGATCCTTGTGAAGAAGATTCAACACCATAGGCATTTTATCAATTACAAACTGAGCAAGAGTAGCCATCAGTCATATTTCGCAGTGGGAAAAAAGTGCATGGCAACTAATTTATGCATGTTTAGTCAGCGATTATTGGTATTACCCTCTCCCCAGTGACAATTTCTAGCTTCACCTAGTGCATCGAGACGTTTTCAGACCAAAAAGGATATATAGTCCCTCCAGTGTGTTGTGGGCCTGTTCCAGTGTCTGCATCCATATTAAACTGCCCAAAGAAGGTGGCCAGGAGGCATTTCTGTAACGCCTGAACCACCACAGTTAACTTCTTCTATCCCTACGCAGCCTCCCAAAGGAGGAAAATCATTTCAGCTACCTGTAATCTTGGTCATTGTCCAAATGTATTTATTTGGCAGGAGGTTTTGGAGCATTAAGTGTAGAACCACTAGACTGAGGAACAGCTTCTACCCTGAAGCTGTTAGACTCATGAATATCTAACGAGGAAAACCACTGTAAAAAAAAATCCCTGTAATGCCACTTTAATTGGTGATATGTCACTTTATCTGTGCTGCTGATTATCCATGCTGCTGATTTCTTGCCTTTAAGATGCTGTAGTCATACCCATCTGCTCACTACAGACTCATGTTCGGGCTGCTGTTTAAGGTAACACTACAATAAGGCTTCCCTTATAGATGGCTAATAAATACTTTATATACACATTATTAATTCCTCTACAAACACTTTATAAATCATTAATAACTGTTTATTATGCATTAATTAAGGGCAACAGAGAGACAAAACTGACCAGTTTTTTTTTTTTGCCAAATAGTGATCCAAATCTGTTCACTTATATATTTCATCTAAAGCTGTTATATGAAACATTCCTGAATAAGTTACTACCTTGTAAGCACAAAAGCATTTGTAAACCTATTTTTTTTAGGATATAATATTAGTTCTAGATACTTATAATGCAGTGATAAAGTACAATATTATATACTAAAGAAATAGGTTTACAAATGCTTATTGTGCTGACAAGGTAGTAACTTATTCTGAAATGTTTAATATAACATCTCTAGATGAAATATATAAGTGAACAGATTTGGCAACAAACTGGTCAGTTTTGTCACTGTAGTCCTTAATGCATAATAAGCAGTTATTAATAATTTAAAAAGTGCTTATAAAGGAATTAATAACATCTATTAACTATTAGTCATCTATAAGGGAAGCATTATTGTAAAGTGGTTCTCTGTTTAATACACCGTAATATTGTTTAGCATTAGATCCTTATATACCGTTACTTTTTATACTTGATATTTTTGCTATTTTTGGGTGTAACTGGGACCTTGAGTACACAATTTCTTCCACCTCAAGCAGGGCTGGCCCAAGGCATAAGCAAACTAAGCAGCTGCTTAGGGCCCCGGGGGCCATACATGTACATACATTCTCTAGGAATAGCTTGTGAATATTTAACATCTGTTTTTTTGTACTTTGCTTGTTGCTGCTGGACATCTGGATTTCCCCATTGTGGGATAAATAAAGTCTCATTTCATCTAATTTGATCTTATTCATATAGCAAAACAAGAGATAAACCACAATGTAGGCAAAAAAGTATTTTTAGTTCTAGTTAGCATCATCAAAAGGTGACGCATCGAGACAGTGCAAAGAAGAATAAACCAGATGCTTAAATCATAAAACTCGAAGTAAAACTTTCATCTCTAAAGTAATTGTCTTGAGATGATGCAGCTCATTTAAGCTTGTTTTATTCTACGGCTTGCAAGCTAAAAATTAAACCTTTTAAAATTTAATATAGCATTCTTAATGATGCATTTATACAAATAAATTATTTTACAGGCAGTATCTTGCTTAATCAGATGCATGCAGCTTTCTTGTAGGGTTGATTTGAGTCAGGTTTGCTTCTGGTTAATGGGGCATGTCATTTATTTTCTCTCCCCTTCAACATCCTCTCCCTGCTACTTGAAAGTACAACAGAAAACACTCCAATACAAGATTGTTTTCTCTGCTGTTCGGGACCATTAGCGGCAATAAAACTTTACTACTTGTCATAAAAATTGATTACAGCGTTATACAGTTTGGCAGAATTATACAACTAATCCCATGATAGTAATTTTAGGAATTTGAGCAACAGTGCTGTCAAGAGCATACAAATAAATATGATTTTTTTCCGATAGGGTCACAGCAAAGCCACATAACATACATATTCATTATTTATATCACATACTGTTATACAAGTACACAGTTATCCAGCATTGAACGTCATGACTCTACATTCTAAAGCAACAAGAAATTAAACAAGTCCCCCGTATGGTATTCATAAAAGACACACAGTGTCCAGGCAAACAAAATATATTTATATACCCTCATGGTAGGAAAAAAGTAGGAACAATACCTCTATTTGCAGTCATTCTGGCATTTACAATTTTTATTTAATTACAAAAAACTTGATCATTTGATCTTTTTTTTCCCCCCTTTTTCTGCACTTAAAGCCCATGTTAAGAAAGTAAACATTTTTATTGCTTTATAACGTTGCCATCCCTTCTCACAATACTCAAAAGGCGTTATGACGCATTATGACACCGAGTTGTATAACTGTATATAACTGTATAACAAGGAACGAAGTGTCTAACTTGGTATTTTTTAAACATTCTAAAATCAGGTCATCCAAGGCACACACACACCTACCAATCTACATACCAACCCACCTCCGTCTGCCCGTCTATCCATCCATCCATCCATCCATCCATCCATCCATCCATATATTCATCTATCCATATGTATCTCTACCCATCTCCATCTATATCATCTATCTATCTCCATCTATCTATATGTATCTGATGATCTCATTCCTAAGGAGAACCTCAACATCTTCATTTCCACTACTTCCAGTTCTTTCTCCTGTCTTTTTGTCAATGCTACTGTGTCCAGACCATACAACGTAGCTGGTCTCACAACTGTCTTGTAAACTTTTCCTTTTACCTTTGTTGATAACTTTTTGTCGCAAATCACTCCTGAAACTTTTCTCCATCCACTCCATCCTACCTGGACTCTCTTCTTGATCTCTATACCACACTCCCAATTTTCCTGGACAGTGGACCCAAAGTCCTTGAAGTCTTGCACCTTTGTGACCTCTGCTCCTTGTAGTCTCACTGTTCCACCAGCCTCCCTCTCATTCACACACATGTACTCTGTCTTACTACGGATGACTTTATTTCCTCTTCTTTCATGTGCATACTGTACCTCCACCTCTCCAGGTTCTCTTCCACCTGTTTCCTGTTCTCACCACAGATCTCAATGTCATCTGCAAACTTCATAGTCCACGGGAATTCCTGCCTGACCTCATCTGTTAGTCGGTTCATCACTAGACCAAACAAGAAGGGGCTCAGAGCCGATCTTGATGCAATCCCACCTCCACCTTGAAGTTATGTCATTCCTACAGCACATCTCACCACTGTCCTGCTGTCCTCATACATGTCCTGCACCAGCCTAGATTGGCAGAATCATACTTCCCTAAATTACTACAAAAAAAAAAAAAAACTTACACAGGAATACCATGTAAATGTTGCAATAAATATGATACCAATATGCAATACGTACCGCTAGCAACTTGTCCTATGTACAATTTCAGTGTGACTCAAACTTAAAATGTGTATATTTCCTTACATTTTTGTGTCTCAAACTAGTTGCCCACATAGACATAGACCAGTAACTGGGATCCTGTATACACAATTTCGTTACACCACATGTGCCACATGGGGTGCAAATGACAAATAAAGAACCTTGAATCCTTGAATCCTTGAAGATACAGTCTTAAGATTAAAAAATGCAGATACAGTTGTCCCTCGCTATATCGTAGTTCACTTCTTGCGGATTCACTGTATCGCAGGTTTTTTAAACCAGTTTTTTTTTAATAATGTGTGTACTGTACATGCTGTGCTGTACTGTACATTCATATCATCATCATCTTCATAGCCATCACCAAAACGTTTAAGAGCATGTGAAGTGTGTATGAGATTGGGAATGTCATGCTTGTTTTAGGTTAAGCGGTAAAAATAATGGATGGATGGATAGATGGATAAAATGTCATGATTCCTGCCAGTCTGTTCACCACGTCCACCGGCTCTGCTGTGATCAGCATAATTCTTCTCACCTGATGGTCGTAGCATTTAAACGCTCCCCTGTTCTCTATCCGGCGCTAGGCTATTGAAAACCTTGTGCAAGTAAATGTCTAGAGATTATCTCATGCTCCTGACTGATCCCCTCATCCTGACCAATTTTATGTGTCCTGGATTTTCCTGTTTTGCCTTGCAAAACTTTTCCAGTGCATTTCCACAGATATGTGCCGACTCCTACCAGTCTTTTCAAAATAAAGCTGATTGGACGCACTCTGTGTCTGGTTGCATTTTGGAGTCCTCCGCTAAATTCATTACAGGGAGAGGTTAATGAGAGAGTAGAAAATGTTTTTAAGAGTGTGGGAAGGGTTTACAAAGCCCTAATATATACATAAGTAATAAAATAAATATAACGCCACTACTTTGCGGATTTTCACTTATTGCGGGGGCCTCTGGAACGTAACCCCTGCGATAGTTGAGGGATCACTGTATGTTGAAATACTGCAGATCCGTTAGGATGTCCCACAAAAAATGTACTTCATTTACAGAGAAGTATGTTGCAAATGAGTTGTATTCATATTGCATTCATGTAGTGTTCAGGATCTATCAAAAGTGTTCCAATAATACAAATACATACTGTAAATACATAAATGAATGCAGCATTCCATAAATAGCTTACTAACAAAAAGGTTCTCGAATGGTTTGAGGAACACAAAGCATTTTAAGTGTTTCTCTTGCATGTGATTCCCCTGAACTTAATGTGACTGAGCATCTTTGGGAGGTGATAAGACAAACAATTTCAAATCATTTATTCACCCCTTACAACTAAACCCATTGAATTTCCTATCTTATTACAACCATTTTCATAAACAAGGCTATTTCTCTTGTCAGTACTGGTTTTTCTGTGGCCTGAGGTGCATAGCACAGGAAGGGAGGCATGCCCAAGTGAGTATGGTAATGCTGTTAGGATCCCCGCTCAAGTAGCCAGGCAGGCGTTTAATTTCTGTCAGTCAGAGAGAACCGAGTACCAGGGAGCAAGACTCGCCTTTTATTTTTAACCTACTGGGTTCCTTTTGGTAACCAAACATTCTGATTTGGCCTTATTCTTCTGTTTCTTGCTCATTTCACTACACTTTTTGGCAAAACGTCAATCAACACCAATAATCTCGTCATACAAAAGGCAAAAATGGAAACTGAAATATTTATGCTGGACTATCCTAGAAAGACTTTTCTTTTATATTTTTCCAGAAAAACAACCATTGCGTGTGTTTTTATTGTTAATAAATAAATAAAAACTTTTTTTTTACTAGACATCACAAAGTCTTGCTATTCATAGACTCATCGCAACATCATTTCTAAAACCACACAACCCTGATACATACCTGGTAATATTTATTAGGTTCATTACCGACATTACCAATCAGATATTGTGATGGTCATTAATCTACAGAAGGAGGTGGTGATAGATGTATAGAGACTAAGAGTTGTAGAGGGTCTGACTTTAAAGTGGCAGTGCAACAGAATGTGTGGAAAATACACAAGCTAGAGTTTTTTATGGCATTCATTACATTCATATGCACTTTCAATAAAAATACAATTTTAGAGCAGTGTGGGTACCTATATCGAACAGAACACTAGCCTGCGCAAACCTCTTGAAGTTTAGGAAATGATTCAAGTTCAAAAGATGATTCCTTTGTGTCAATTATAACCATTGGGATAGAAAAACTAAATTTTATTGTGTGTGTACCTGAATTTCATTCAGCCTCTCCTCCATAATAGGATACTCCGTAACAGATGTCGATGGGATGGACAGTTTGGCTTCGCACTGTTGTATCCACGCTAACAGTGCTGATATGGTCTCCTTATATCGAGCTGGGGGCAGGCTTTCCAGAACTAGAGACAGAAGTGAGAATTGAGGGACATATTCAAGGAGGTGATCCAAATCTATGAACAAAAACCATTGACACTATCTAGAAAATGGGGAAAGTATTGGCTTTCATTGGTGGCTAAAGATAGCATAGGAAAATTAGTACACATGCACAGTTTCAGTTATGCATCTGGCCATTGTCGAGTACAGTCTGTGAGAATACAACCTTGGCTAATGTTCTGATTCTCCGGCGTTCGTGAGTTCAAAGTGTGAAAAGCAATTATAGGCTGCCACGCTGTTTTTTCTGACAGTGCCACTGAATCACTGTTGAAGCTCCTGACGGTACTGATGAATAAGAAAAGCACTAATTTGCAAGAAATACGCAAGAATGTATATTTTGCCATTGCTTATGTTTATTTATGGTGGGGGGGATACTGTAAATACCTGTGTCAGTCTGTGTAACCACTGAACAGATCTTGACGAAACTCTCAGAAAGTTATCAGTAGATGTGCATCCATGAAGTAATAATAATAATGTGTCCATATCATAACGTGTTGCAGTTTTCAGCGTAGCTGAAGGGGAAGGATCAATAGCTATGCTTCCTACAGCTTCCCGTCAGCTGAAATACCTTACAAGTTCAAAGCGAACACCCACTGGCTTCAGCTCTGAATCTGACTGCTGATCAAATCATCTGTCAGGGCTTGTGCTTTATTTCTTTGAAAAGTCAGAGCACTCCGGCACATCCTGAAAACCCCGTCTACGATAAATATCAGCCCAAACGTTGTAAAAAAACTTTCTGTTTGGCTCATTTTTCTTCTCAACAGTAAATGATTCTAATGTGCATTGCTTGGACATAAAACATAAAACAAGCTTGTGTTGCACCATTATTTAATACACAAGAAAGTCTAAACCATTAAAAGGATTATTACTTTTTATTGATTGATTTACTCCTTTCTATTCATAGCCTTCATTGAATACCTTGAGGGCCCTCGTCATTAGGAATGTCTAGTATTATCTGGATGTAAATCACATTTTTTGGATGATTGTTTCCTCTGGTATCAGATGCTGTGCAGCTGGAAGGATTTTTACTGAAACTTTTTTAGTTTTGGGCATTTGTTATGATGCGTAACCATGGCAACAAGGCAGTTTTCTACAACCAACAGCAGCTGATTAACAACTCAAAAGCTCAAATAATATCTCAACTACAGCCCCAAATCTCAAATGAGTTGAAAGGATGTTCTGTGGATGCAGTCTCATCTACCTGCCAGCTGTGCTCGAGTGCCTGACCACTGAGATCCTGGAACTAGCAGGAAACACGGCTCATGACAGTCGAAGAACAGGATCGTCCCTCGGCACCTACAGTTGGCTGTCCGCAGCAACGAGGAGCTCAGCAGACTGCTGGGAGGAGTGGCCATCGCTCTGGGAGGAGTTCTGCCCAGCATTCGGGCGGTCCTACAGCCCTGGGGAACTGAGAAGCCAGCCGAGTCTGGGTGGACGGATCGGACGGCATCTGCAGCCAGTTTCTTAGGATCCACTGTGGGATGGACCTTAACACGAGATCCTTCCTGTCTACAGCCATCAGTATCTATAATGTCTCTTAATGAAACGAGGATAATGAGTTACAATAACAAATAATTTCCCTTTGGGATCAATAAAGTATTTTTGAATTTGAATTTGTATTTACAGTTCATTTCTGTTCATTTATATAGCGCCACATCACAACAGAAGTCGTCTCAGGGCACTGAACAGAAACATCCATATATTAAAAGTAAGTTAATATCATTAATTTAAGGAGCAGACTGCTTTGAGTCTAACTCCATCACAGAACTTTCATCTTGAGCAAACATGAAGGCGACAGTGGAAAGGAAAAACTCCCTCATGAGGAAGAAACCTTTAGCAGAACCAGGCTCAGGACAAGTGGCCATCTGCTTTGACTGGCTGGGTTTGAGAGGAACAGGAAGGAGGAACAGATACACAATGGCAGGTCGAGAATCACGTTGAGATAGAAATAGTATCAAATAAAAACTATTGAATTGTAACAATTCATTTTAAGCAATTAGTTCAATTTCTCCTCCAGTAGTCTAAGCCTATAGCAACATAGCAAGCCAACCCTAACTATAGGATTTATATATAAAAAGGAAAGTCTTTAGCCCAGTCTTAAAACTGGACAATGTGTCAGCCTCATGGACAGAAACTGGAAGTTGGTTCCACAAGAGAGGAGCCTGATAACTGAAAGCTCTTCCTCCCATTCTGCTCTTGGAAACTCTAGGAACCACAAGTAAACCTGCAGACTGACAGCAAAGTGCTCTGTTAGGAAAATATGGAACAATAAGATCTGTAATATAAGATGGAGCTAGGTTGTTGAGGGCTTTGTAGGTTAGAAGTAAGATTCTGAAGTCTAGTCTGAATTTGACAGGGAGCCACAATATAACCAATTAAAAGGCATTTTCAGACAACAATTATATTATCATCTAGTAACAACGCAATTAGAAATATTTGCAAGTATATTATGGATATTAAATATCTAATGAGATGTCATTTTAACATGGGAAGGTAAAAATGAAAATGCTTTCATTAAACTGAAGAGATCTGAAATGTGAGATTCAACCAGTAAAGCCTTGACTTTATATAACCACAAAAATCCTTATTCTAAATACTGATAATAAAAAAATAAAAAAAAGATTTGAGAAAAAATAATGAGCGGGAAATGGAGGTCCCAATGTTTGTGTTTTGACTTGGGCGTCAAAGTGGCCAAATGATTCTCACCCAGTTGTAGCTGCCTCTCTCTTGCCCGCAGGTCCTCCAGGACCTTGTTATAGTGTTCTTTGAAGGCAGTGATGTCGGCATCCGGGAAGGCTGAAGGGTCCTCGTCCCCTTCTTTTTCCTCTTTCAGCTCGTTCAGCCGTGTCTCAAGGAGGTCTACTTGGGGCTGCAGGGACGACAGGCGAGCTATCTCTTCCTGTCAGGAGAAAGAAGTGAAAGCATCAGCCTCAACGACTCAGTTCGTGCTGCCATTTAGACTGGTGAGGATAAAAACCCAATAGAAACAAGGCCAATAAAGTTCAAGACAATTTTATTGTCGTTTTGTCACATGTGGTACATGAGGTGGAACAAAATTATGTACACAGGGTCCCAGTTACACACAAAAATAGCAAAAATATAAAGTATAAAAAGAAACCGTGCATAAGGATCTAAGATATACACTAAGATATGCGCCATAAACCTGAATGTCTTAAAATATGTCCAATTTTTGGATTCATTTGGCAACCCTTCACGTGTGGACTGTGTAGTTCTACCTGTTTTTATATGTGTTGATGCAGTATGTGAAAGTTAGAACATTTATGCAAAAAAAATGAAGGTTGAGTTACGTTTTCTTCCACCGAATAATACACCAACTCCTAAGATCAGAGTTGTAGCTTGGTCGGAGAGAAAAGTGCGATTAGCAGTTTCAGAAACCACACTTCAGCTCTGACATCCAGTTTTTGCTTTGTTTTAAAGTTACGGTCTAAGTCGATTCTACGTCCTACTTCTAGTATGTCGCTGAGCTGCAACTGTTAGTGGCTAGTCTTCAACTCAAATATGGAAGAAGAGATGCATTTTCAGTTGCTGTCTCACTGTATTCTGAGTATTTGCAACCAAGTGACCAACAAACAGCAGTTGTGCGGCCATTGTTTGAAAATCACAACCTATTCTCAAAAACCTATATTTTGGACTGCACGCATTATTTTTTCCCACCTCTATGGACTGTACTTATATAGCGCCTTTCTATCATATCGATACTCAAAGCACTTTACACTACAATCTGTGTCCTCATTTACCCATTCATACAGCACTCTACTAGATCTCTACAAAGCTAATTGAACAAATCATTCTAAAGAAACTAATCAGAGCTTAATCACATTCTACACCGATGGGACACACATCAAAGGCAATGAGGGGTTCAGTGTCTTGCCCAGGGACACTTCAGAATGTGACTGCTAGTGGAATTTAACCCCCAACTCTTGCATTGGAGGACGATTGCTCTAACCACTCAGCCACAGCCGCCCTCAATGGAGGCACCGCTATGGAGGCACCGCTATGGAGGCACCACTATGGAGGCACCGCTATGGAGGCACCACTATGGAGGACCGACTATGGAGGCACCACTATGGAGATAAATTAGTCTCAAAGGTATTTAAACGAGCGGTACGCTGAAGTCCCCTGTTGCTGAGAGATTTACATAGTCAATGTTTGTATTGTTTGGCATGAGGGTTTCCCTGGACTGGTATTGAAAAGGGAATGTATGTAAACCTTCATGCTTTTGGTGCAATATATTCAAGTGTGTAGGAGTTACACTAGCTATGTTTACATGCACATAATTCTTTGACCGGATTGAAACGTTTTCAGATTAAATAACCCAAATGTATCGTTTACAGTACATGGGCAGGCTTTGTTCTGAACAGAAGTACTGACATGTGCAAAGTGGTAAACTCTCCTTAAAAAACCACAGAAAAAGAAGTTCTACTTCCGTTCTACTTCCGTGAAGAATGTAAACAAACCCCGAGCACCCAAAATGGACCCGCGACAGGTTTTAATGACGGTGGAGACGTTGCTGCACTCCCTGACTGAGCTACAGGTGATACAGATCATTTTAGCCTGGTATCCACAGGTCTGGTTCTTGTTGTAGCCTGTTGTGTCCGGTTCTAGTGGGACCTCTATTTTTGTGTCTCCACTTTGCCTATAGTTCCCGTTTAGTGGGCGGATTGTTCACCTCTAGTGGGCGGATTATTAATATCAATGCACCTTACCAGCTGGTGGCGGTAGTGCTACATTAAGCTCTTTTCTAAGCACCATTAACATGCATTAGAAGAAGAGCTGGAAAACAACACACAACCAAAATGGATGACCTCCGTGAACTTGGAGCAGAACCAGCCGCACAGCCCGTCCTGGTCGCTGTCCCGCAAGATGGAGAGCAGGGCCGAGGTGTCAGAGATGCTCTGATGGAGTACCTCATGAGCTGTAACTTATCCTAATTCCACCCCTTAATCTTTTTTACCTCCCCAGCCTTCCTTAGATACAAGTGAACGTTAAAGTGTTGATTTGAAAATAAACATGGATTAATAATTATTCTTGTTTTTTTAATGTACAGACATGCCTTATTACCAGGTTTGTGTAAAAATGGCAAAACAAACACTGCTGTTGTGCTTCTATCACATATGCTGCGTTTTTTAGTGGCTGTAGTTTTAGAAAAACTGTATACTCTTTAATTTTTGTTTTTAACAAAGAACCAAAACCTACAACAAGAACTTTATATTTGTTTATGCATATATA